GTCAGTACTGTCAGTAAATCCACCGACTCTGCTGGAAATCTGTGTTCCGAAATATGAAATCAAAAATACAGTGCTGTAATTCGGAACACGTTTTCATGGTAGTCATCAGCAGTTTATCTGAACTAGATATTTAGCCTCCTGCTTGATATAAATTTTGGAAATTTTATATTTAATATGGCAGAGCAATCGATTCTTGTAGCCTCCATAGTTGCTACGATTGTTGACGATGAATATTCAAGCTCGAGTGATCAAGACTACTCGGACATTTTGTTGCCAATAATTTTTCATGATGCACCAGATTCCTGCTAGACCCCAAGTGTGGTGCATTGATGAAATCAGCTCTTCAGAAAGAATCTAAAAATGCAATAAAATACAGGGTGTTCCATATGAAATAACAAAGTTGCTAGTTGTTTCTGATAGAAGTGGCAACACTGTATCGATGAAAATATTTTAGACGGATAGAGGTTCAATTATCGGAGCATACAAATTTTCAGAATGTTCTGTTTTTTCGTTCTCCAGATACTTCTAATAGGCCATCCACCGTGGATCAGCCTCATAGCCTGTAATCATTGTGTGGTGTGTATACAGGCTCATTCACGGTGGTTGGCCCATTAGATAGGTATTTCTGATGAACCAGACACCGGATAATTTCGAAAATTCGATGGAGAGCATAATTGGGCATTCTCTACCCAACTAAAATATTTTTGATAATGCAGAGTTGCCACTTCTATTAAAGAGTACTAGCAAGGTTGTTATTCCAAATGGAATGTATTCCATTGCATTTTCAGATTCTCGCTGAAGAGCTGATTTCATCAAAAAGTTATATCAAAAAAGTCTCCATCTCGGTCGGGTTTCCATTTTAATAGTTTTTAATATGAATGCAAAATGTATCTATCCCAATCCATATTGCTTACAAAACAATTCGTTTTCCAGCCGACTTGATTATTACCTAATACGACGGGGTCAGTTATTGAGATTGATTCGAAAATTACAACTTTGAGTCCCATAGCTATCAACTGAATGGAGATAGAAACAAAGTTTTTGGCTGAAAGTTGTTTATTTCAGAATATGAGAAAAAAGTTGTGACTTTGTGGAAAAAATATTTTTTCTGACACCATTTCCGCTATTTTGGATAGAGTTGAAAACTGTTTGTACACGCAAAAATTTACCCCACACACAGCTATTCAAATTTCGTTTGCCGAATTTGTATTTGCAGTTTTCCTTCTCCTATTAGGAACCAACAAAGTCGTTCGAATCACCCTGTACCTTTTTTTTATCACTTGGAGCGCACGAAAGGGAATCCCTATAATGTTCAGCAAAGAACATCGTGCGTTCCTAGGGAGGATAGAGACAGGAGGTAGGTATTGGAATTTTTTTTGAACTTCTGAAGATTATATGTTGTTGGGAATACTTCCTCAGGCAATGAATTCCAGAGCCTAGCCGTTCTATGGATGCAGGTGTTTTGATGAAGTGTAGTTTGACATCTTTCGAGGTTGACAACGAAAGGATGTGCTGACTGGGTTTGTCTAGTTCGTCTGACTGGTATTGCTAGTGAAGGGATGATAGCAGAGATTTCCGAAGAACATTTCCCGTGGAAGTATCGATAGAGAAGTGAAAGGTCGTCGACCTTTCTACGGTGTTCCAATGATGTCAAAGAGTGAGTGAGTGTGGCGTCACCCACCAGGCGAATGGCTCTGCTCTGGATGGAATCTATAAGAGCATCAGCGTATGTTTTGGTGCTGAACCCCATATGTGGTTGAAGGTTTATAAAGTCAGCATCAAATAGGAAAATCTCATAATAAAAAAAATATCGAACTTTGACTTGTGCGTTAAGTTTTAAATAAAAAATGGACTATACTTGGTCAGGGTCACCTGACTTTCGCTACCATGTAATATGTTACATTTTTCGAATTATTCCCTGAAAATAGGCATATTTGTTTCAATTTCGAAACACAATACAACATTGAATGTATTGAAATCAATTGAATATGAGGTATCTGCACCCATATAAAGTAGCTGATAGCCTATACAACAAATTTGGAATAATAGTGCCATCTCCCAATGGGGATGGATATGGGGTGAATAAAAATGGATACTCCTCTAGACAACCATTCAGAATAGAAGATTGGAAAAAAAATAATAATCAAAGGCCATTATACAATTTGTGACCATAAATGCGCAAATGTTTCCTGATGAGAAAATAAAAATGAACTGTAGGGAATTGCAATCAGCGTTGATTTACCTGCTTTTATACTTGTCTTGTTTTATTACATTTTCAGAGTTGATGGGTTTATTTCTTAGATTGTTTTGATTTCAATAAAAAATTTCAAATTGGTGTACTTTTATTCTTAGATAACGCACATTTCCTAGTGAAATATTTAGTCTGTTTGTTGGATATAGAAACATCTTCCTCAAAAATATTCATTTTACATGTTCCAAGTACCCACAGGTGTTTTATATCATTTTTGAAGTACAAACGCACATTTGTTTGTACGCCACTGGAAATCTTTCTGAGGTAGATATCTCTGACTTAATATACATGGAAAAATTGCAAGCTGAACTTTTTCTCTCATTATATTTTCCAGTTCCTTGAGTCGTCAATAGTTATAAGGCAGAACGTGACAGCATAGAGTTACTTCCTCTCACATTTTTTTTGTGGAAGTGGATATTAGGATTCCTCTTCGATCAAAAAGATGTGCCAGATGCTAAATTCAATTTTCCTTCGATTGGTGCAAATCTTTATCTCTCACCGTTTCCGAGAAGAAGAAGAAAAATGTTATAATTGGAACATCATTCTGTCCAAGAGCGAATAACACAAAAACCGTTTAAGTTGAACAATTTGATAGGGAGTACATTTTTCATGTGAAATTGAACGAGCTTCAAGATTTTACACTTATTTCGATCATCAATGATTGACATAAAAGATATGCTGTAAATTATCGAAGTAATAGAGTGCCACTAGCCCCCTCTATGAGCAATAACAAAATAAGTTGCAAATTCACTTTCCTCATGTCAGAAACCCTGGAAATACATGATTTCATGTTCATGCTGTTAGAACTAACAAACTTATTGTGAAATTTTGAAATAAAATCTCCCCCTAGAACACCCTGTATCTCCTAAACCAGCAGCAACATTCTCATCAGGCATATTGGGCTAAATCTCATTATTTTCGTGTTTACTATCTGTAGTTCAGAGATTTCCCATTATTAATGAATATCTGGGAAAAAGTACTCACTATTTTTCCGTGGGAAAATAGTTATTTGTTTTACTAGGCCGAAAAGTAGTAGATTGACTGGCGCGGCTGATTCAGCCAAGGCAGTCAATCTACATTTGCTGCCGTGTGAAACATAGAATTTTTTCTCCAAATAATATAAAACCAATTGCGTGTAATTTTTTTATTGAAAACTCCATCATTTTGTGTTCACTCAATGTCAGTGTCTATTTTGATTACTAATTTCATTAGAATTTCTTGAAATGTTGCATAGCAACAAATTTTTTCTGCCTATGCAGTAAAAGAACACCTTTTCTGTTAAGCGGCAGAAAAAATCCACCGCTGGGAGAAAATAGTAGATCAAAAGTGACACTTTATTTGACAAGCGAATTTTGCATTTTTGAGGCGGATCGCTTAGCAAAGCCGAGCGAAAGCAAAATTCGCGAGTCAAACAAAGTCACTTTTGATCCGAATGAAACATGTTATTTTTTCTGCAAACGAAACAATTAACTTAAGTAAATATGTGAAGTAACCACCATTGCCGTGCCATATGTATGCAATGCAACAAATAAAAATCAATGCGAAATCCGTGTGGTGAGAATATTATACCTGCATCAACAGTAGGTTTATCCAATTTTCAAGGATCTTCGAATTGTAGTTTCAACATAAATACAACCAAAGAGTGACATATTTGTGTGTGGACCAGGTGCTCTAATGGCAAATACCGCGCCAGTGCCAGGTATAGGAACAAGACATGGAAAATGTTAGGTTATTGAGCATATCAACGATAACGATAGCGATTATGTATTCCTCTCCATGCTACACTGTGTTTGACCTTATAATCAAATAGAGGTAAACAATGTCGTTGTTTGAGCCAAAAAACTATCGCTTGCCGTGATAATTCAAAAACAAGTTATCCGTCCCGAGAATACCGAATGAAATAAGATCAAGCAACTATGTGAATCTTGAAGGCCTCCCTGATCAAAACAAAAATACTCAACTGAGATGTTTATAATTCCTATAATCAACTATAATAAGGTGTATTTATATCTGCAGCATGGTTATGAAATGCCAAATCTGCCAAAATCGGAAACAAATCAGGTATGCGTCCCAACCCAAATAATCAACCGTAACAATGTTGTTTATTCTTGATGACGTCTATAGTATATCCTTTTGAGTTCCTAGGAGCTAAAGATCAACTTTAGCTCCGAGGAACTGGATATGTTGCCTAGCAACATACCTATTTTTGTGTCAGTATGATGGAAACGTCAATTCAAGAGCTAATTTTGGTATCAAAATGGACGACTTTTGTGTCAGTTGCAGAAAAAAGTAATTTATGGAAAGTGACATTTTATTTCTTGTCAAGAGAGAGATGTTATTTCAAACTTTTTTACCTTCACCGGAAAAAATATTTATATGAAACTGTGCGCACCACCCCTTCCAGAAGAGGGTGGGGGTGTCTATGCGTGTTTTCGAGGTGAGTCTGTCCCTTAATTATTATATATCTACTGACTCCATGCCTCTCCAAAGAATTTTGCTTGTATAATCAGAAGGGAAAGTATCTGTCCATTTTTGAGCTGTTAGGCAAAATCGAGGGCAATATGCCACATCGTCAATATGACGTCGTCTTAAGTCACTCTGCCACCTTATATATCTAGAGGTATATCTTCACTCTGAATATTTTTGGGCATTCTGTAGCAATATAATTATAGTAAATTAATAACGCTGAAATAAGAAATAACAGACGCTATCCAAATTCTCAATGCCTTTATTAGTTGGATGATAATGTTCATCAAATGTTTATATAGTATGTTCATATAGAGAGTACATGAAATTGTGCATTGTGGAAAATTCTCAACATTCTTTATTCTTCTATGAATTGACTAATAATTGTATATATAATTCAAATAAATGAAATGCTGCCTTCCAATGGGATTATTATAGTTGTGAGTGTATCCATCAGTATTTTTTTCGAAGAAAATTATAAGGTACACTGAAGAGTCAAGAAATTCGGAACCATGATGGAAGGCCCATCATCTTCACGATATCCATAAATAAAAATGCATATATATTTTCATCGACTAAACGTCTAATGTATGTACGCTGACTAAACCTACTTATGTTTATTTTTGTTTCTCTTTCTCCGAATAGATTCCATATCTGAATCTCCAGTAGATGATTTTGTTGGCAATGTCTTGTCAATGTTGCATGATTTATCTCCCTTTATGTTTTTGATAGTTGTTTTTTTGTTTGAAATCAGGTTGACAAAGAGCAAATCATTCTTTATATTAGCAATTGATGCTCTCAACATGTTTAGTTCTGATAGTGCAATTTTTGTAATCCTTCCTTCGGGAGTTCTAGGAGGTTCGTAAAGGAGATATGTGATACTTTCTTTCAGCTTCATTTCTGCATTCATCAAGTTGGAGAATAGCTCTTCCAAATTTATCAATCCATCATTGTATTCCTTGTTTGCTAAATCTATCAATGATGATTGTAATTGGTATAGAGCCATTGCTGAAAAATAATCTGCATTAAAGGAATAAAATAGTTGCTGCCGAGCAAAAGCAAACAATAGTTATTTATTATACAAGGGAAAAAGTAGTAGATTTTAGCTCCAGGTTGTGTTGTCTCACGACGCGTAGCGGAGGGAGACAAAAAACCGTGAGCTAAAATATAATATTTTTTCCGTGTATAATACACAATTTTTGTCTGTGACAGAAGAAAGGAGAAGATATCACATTATTTTGAAATCTGAATATTATCGACGTGATATTCTAAGTTTTTAACAGTAGGGACACCTGCTAATAGGAATCTATATCATTCTTTTGAAGTAATCAAATAACTGATGTCACTTCTGTCAGTCTAATTCTGTGATTTGATGATGAAAAAAATTGCGAATTTAGTGGTTGTTTAGTAATATACGTAACCGCGAAGTCGATTGATAAAAGGACTTGCAGTTCTTTCTCGGAGACGGTATTTCACGGTATTATTGACTCATTTTTCGGAACTATAGCACAACAAAAGCCATCAACAGTATATATATATATGTGATATATATCCGGGAAAAAAGTACTCACTTGTGAAGTGACATTTTATAACCTGCCAACAGAGATGAAATGCCGAACTTTTTTCCCGTCCCAGAAAAAAATCCGTTTTTGCTTGGCAAAAGCAAACAAAATCCTATGTCCCATAACCTTTAAAATGTTAAATATCCTTTCTCAGTTCTGAATCTCAATGGGCGTGTGGACTAATAATACATTATTGGCATTCAATTACTCCACTGTGTCGTTAGGGAACTATAGTTATTTATTATACAAGGGAAAAAAGTAGTAGATTTTAGCTCCAGGTTGTGTTGTCTCCCGACGCGTAGCGGAGGGAGACAAAAAACCGTGAGCTAAAATCTAATATTTTTCCCGTGTATAATACACTATTTTTTTCTGTGACAGAAGGAAGGACGAATCAATATTGAGAAGATATTACATTATTTCGAAATCTGAAAATTAGCGACGTGAAATTTCAAGTTTTTAACAGTAGGGACACCTGCGTTTTATAGACATCTTTATCATTCTTTTGAAGTAATCAAATATCTGATGTCACTTCTGTCAGTTCAATTCTGTGATTTGATTTTAAAGAATTGCGAATTCAGTAGTTGTATAGTAATATACGAAACCGCGAAGTCGAATGGACGATAAAAGGACTTGCAGTTCTTTCTCGGAGACGGTATTATTGACTCATTTTTCGGAACTATAGCACAACAAAAGCCATTAACAGAGTATATATATGTGATATATATCCGGGAAAAAAGTACTCACTTTTTTCCCACGGGAAAAAAGTAATTTATGAAAAGTGACATTTTATAACCTGCCAACAGAGATGAAATGCCAAACTTTTTTCCCGTCACAGAAAAAAATTAATTTTTGCAACAACTTCTCACACTTTTTTTATGTAAATGATGAGTCTATGCGTTGTTCAAAATTGATGAAGCTGATTTCAAACATACCGCCATGGCCGCCATTTGGCGATACGTCGAATAAATGGTAACATCTGTTTTTATCCTGTTTCGTTATTGGTCAAAAAATCTTTAGTTTCCACTGATGAAGCAAGGTTGTCAAGTCACCAATTATAATAAATTTATCAAAATGATTAGAAACCTCCCAGTCAACACACGGACATTCGATGGATATCCACTGGACATTCATTTCGGAAATTGAGGATATCCAGAGGACATCTGTTGATATCCGGTGGAACTAACAAAAAATAGTGACATCCATAATTATGATACGAGACATAAAAATGATTTTGTAATTGGTAGAATAAATTATTCATTTAGGGAAAAAGCTCCCAATAATGCTGGCATTCGATATTTTAACAAACTTCCGGTTACCGTCAAGGATAGCGAATCATACGGTATATTCAAGAGAAAGCTAAAAAAGACTCTTCATGAAGAGTGTTTTTACAATTTGAGAGAGTTTGAGAGTTACCTTAATGATACTTATAAAAGAAATGAATAATCTTCTATAGCAAGTTCTGGATGTTATTAATTGTACTCCCTATTATTATGTGAGTATATTGTAAATGTAATGTGCTTGTAATTGTATGTATCTGTATTTTTTAACTTGACAATCATTATCATGCATTCTGATGTTGACTATTTCTCCTGTATATTTTATATTTTATGTACATTTTATGTATATTATAACTCTCTGACAATGTCTAATCTATTGTACAATAGTAAATAAGACAATAAACGATCTATCTATCTATCTATCTATTTTATGGACATTCGATGGATGGTACGAGTGGACGAAGCTGGACTTCCATAAGATATCCTACTGCGATATCCATAAGATATCGTTCAGGCCTATCCATAAGATTTTGTTCACGGATATCTGCGAGATGTTTTTCAGGGACATCTGCAAGATATTCAAAAGGATGTCCATAAGATTTTGTTCACAGATATCTTCAAGATATATTCTATGGATATCCATAAGAAATCATTGAGGAATATCCATAAGAAACATATAAAATTCATGAGGAAATCTGAACTTCAATCATGTCTTTCGTCAACCCGATTTCAACCTGTTAAAGATTCTGTGACTTGAAAATACTAAAATATCTCAATATATAGCTAAGTACTAGATTTTGTCGAAAAGTACTTCGGTACCGACTCGAACGCGAGAATTGACAAGCCCCGGGGTTTATCGCGGGAGAGAGAAGGACATATAATGCCCTCTCACTCGCGAGAATGCATTTGGCACATAGCCGAAGCACAGTACTTCATCATACTTCGTCTCGTAAGCAACTGGTTGGCTCAGTAGGCAGAGCATCGGCATGCCAAGCCGGCGGGCCGGGGTTCGAATCCGTGCGAGGCTCATCTTTTTTTTATTTTTTCCTTGTTCTCAAGTGATTTCTAAAAAATATTCTCTATGGGAAATAGGTTCATTTAGGGGTTTTCTATGTTTGTGGTTTAGGCCAGAGGTGAGGTTCAGTTAGGTTAGGTTAGGTTAGAATAGAATAGAATATTTTATTTGATGTTAATAAACATTAAGTTTTACACAGGTCAACGAAACAAGTACAGATATACTCATAAAATAGATAGGTTAGGTTTTCTCATTTTTTATGCAGAAACAATATTTTCCTTCCTCAAGAAAAATTCTCCTTCTTCAAGAAAAAAGGTTCATCTGAGCGAGAGCGAGTTATACGTCCTTCTCTTTCCCGCGATGAACCCCGGGGCTGGTCAATTCTCGCGACTCGAACAAACCTGGACTGGACTATGTCGGTGACAGTCGTGTCACTGTCAACATGCTATTAGACGGAGACCTTGATTAAACGGAGATGGAACTATACAGATCATCCAACCTTGGAAACTAGGGACGGAATAAAATACGAATATCGAATATCGACTCATCTACTGTTCTGAAATGAATAGTTCTGAAGTGAAGAGGTTTAACTTTGTATTTACGAGAATTTCTCAATTCATTTATCGCTCTGGATATTTCATAGTCATTCTCAGGATATCTTCTGAAGGATTGACACTATCAAAATCAATCTTGCAAATTCAATACTTTCGTAATTGCTGTGAATATCTTATGGATATCCATAAGGTATCTACTGAAGGATATCCATTTCAAATCCTCCAATGGATATCTCATGGATGTCCATTTCAAATCCAGTAGGAAAACGAAAAATCAGTTCTATTTCCAAAAGGTTCAATCCATGTTCGGACACAAAAGAAACTCAGAAATTCATACTATCAAAATCAGTATTGCGAATTGAACTCATTCGTAATTACTGTGAATATCTCATGGATATTCATAAGATATCCACTGGAGGGTATCCATTTCAAATCCTCCGATGGATATCTCATGGATGTTCATTTTAAATCCAGTAGGAAATCTAGATTGTAAATTGTAGATTGTAGATGGGTCGTATAGGCTGGGAGACCTCTCGATCACTGCGACCTAGAAGATCTATTGTGATTACCCCTATCTAGATTTGGTCCTCTAACCCTAGACTTCTGATGAAGCCTACGATTTTCCTGACGGTTGACTTTTCCACTTCAGCAGGGGTGAGATAGATCTGTTCTAGGTGGTTCAGCCTTTGGCGGACTAATACTTCACATGAGCAAAGTATGTGTTCCGCGGTTTCGGTCGCATTGTTACAAAAGCGGTAAGTGTCAGTCTCCGCCAGACCCATCTTTTCGAGGTGGTACCTCAGAGGGCCGTGTCCTGTGAGAAAGCCTGTGATAAGCTTCAGCTCTGGTTTGCTGAGGCTGAGTAGCTCTTTGGCTCGGTTCTGCGAATGGTGGATGAACCTTTTCGCTTGTCGTTGACTTGGAGTTGCTCTCCAGTAGGAGGACATTTCAATTTCTTCCCATTTCCCGAGTTCTCCCTTCAGGTGACATCTGCTGCTTATCCCACAAAAAGGCTCAGGACCAAAAAGTGCAGATGCTGCACCTTTTTTTTGCAAGGCGATCAGCTGCCTCATTTCCTTCGATTCCTTCATGCCCTGGAACCCACATAAGTGTGACTGTGTTACCCTTTCCCAGTTGCATGAGTGTTTCAAAGCAGTCCCATGTAATATTTGATGTGGAAACGAATGATTTTAGGGCTTTTAGTGCGGCTTGGCTGTCTAAGCAGATATATATGTTGGCACCCCTTAGACCTTTGCTCAGGCACTTTTGGGCGCAAAAGTTGATGGCAAGTATTTCAGCTTGGAAGATAGTGGGGGAGTGACCTAAGGCTTCAAATAGCCTACATCCGGGTCCATATACACCCGCGCCTACCCCTTCTTCCATTTTTTAACCATCGGTGTACCAAACAAGGGACCCTCTGTCCAGCTGAGGCTCAGCGGAACCGTACCTAGGGCGGCTTTTTATAACCACTTCAAAGGTATGATCGAAACTGAGCCTGGCTGGCATTATGTCCGATGGTTTGGTTGCAGATTCCATTTGTACTTCTTGTAGAATGACCATGTGACCAGTGACATCACCTGGTCTGGCCAATTCAGTGGGGTTCAGTCTGTATGCACTGAGAGCTGCAGTCCTCTTGATAAAAATATGCAAGGGTAGTAGGTCAAGCATAGCTTCCATTGCTGCAGTAGGGCACGTACGCATAGCCCCTGTGATCCCAAGACACGCGAGTCTTTGGATTTTTTGCAGCTTAAGTTGTGCTGTTTTTTCCTTACATTTGATCCACCACACTAGAGAAGCGTATGTGACCAAGCGTCTGACCACCGTGAGATAAGACCAGTAGATCATATATTTGGTTTAAGACCCCACGTTTGGCCAAACATCTTTCGGCATATCCAGAGAGCTGAAATTGCCCAATTGATGATTTTGGTCAAGTGTTGGTTCCACGTGAGTTTCTTGTCTAGGATTACTGTAGGAAATCTAAGAATCAGATCTATATTTCCAAAAGGTCAAATCCATGTTCGGACACAAAAAAGCTCAGAAATTGACACTATGAAAAACAATCTTGCGGATTGAACTCATTCGTAATTGCTGTGAATATCTCATGGATACCCATAAGATATCCACTAAAAGATATCTATTTCAAATCCTTCGATGGATATCTCATGGATGTCCATTTCAAATCCAGTAGGAAAACGAAGAATCAGATCTATTTCCAAAAGGACCTATCCATGCTCGGACACAAAAGAAACTCAGAAATTGATACTATCAAAATTAATCTTGCAAATTGAACACATCATTAAGATATCTACTGGTGGATATCCATTTCGAATCCTGCGATGGATATCTCATGGATGTCCATTTCAAATCCAGGGATATCTCGACCAAAATTGGACATGAAAAGGAGATCCATAGCATATCCTGTGTTATCTGGGCTGTCGTTGAATAAAACACGAGATAAAACATAATATAAGGAAGCCATGATATGATAGTTCATACTTTACTTTTTGGAGCAATCATATGTTACCCCTAGAATGTCCTGTAGTGTGAATTAATATAATATTTTCATTGATACAAATGTATTATGAGCATAAGCCACAACAGATGAGGGAATATTTTGAGACAATTTATTTTTAATGTCTGATTATGAATATAACCAATACAAAATTGATAATTTATGAATAATTGAAATAATTATATTTCTGGAGTTCCAATCGTTCCAATATGGCAACTGTCCCTACTTACGAAATCGTGACGTCTGTTTTTACTCGCGGTAAATTTTCAACCGTTTGAAAATTACCACGGCATTATTGTTGATATTTTAGCACCTTAAAATCGAACGAAAAATTCTAAGAGAATAAGAAATTGAAAGGAGTTTGATTGATGATTCTATTTAAGAAATTTAAAAAAATTGTCCACTCGACTATTATGGAGTTTCACCTGGGATCAACAAGTGAGACTGAATATAATCACAGGAGATGATATACTCTCCCCCTTAGTTCAAAATGGTCACTGATGCAGGTTCAACAGATATATTCCACTAAGGGGTAGTTGACAATGACGCGAAGAAGGTTTTGGTAATAGGAGATAGATGAACGTACTTGGTTCACGACAATATAGCGATTCTGAGGATTTCAGTTCTACTTCGCATTCAGCTTTTTCAAATGCAATATTTGATTCAATTTGATTATTGAATACCTCAATAAATAATGAACTTTTTCATGCAGTAGATACCTTTCATTCGTGAGATTCCAGGTTCAAGTTTAGAGAAAACTTCAATCAAACTTTGACATAGCCTGATTTTTTTCTGAAGATTGTTTCTGGTGGGTGGCATGTAGGTGTACAGCCCGATCATACTCTGTTTTGTTTCCAATATCAGGAAGTGATTTTCATGAAATGTTTGAAGCAGTTTACTCAATAAATTTTCCATAGCCTCCATGTCACTTCTATCTGAAAATTATTGATTTCAAGTTGAAATTAGTATACATAGTGTTTCTAAATGTCATGTACATATTGCAGGAGGCGATTATTTGGTTTATTATAGGACTAAAAATTCCTATGAGCATAGGAATCACTTCCTTTAATATGTACAGGGTGGCTGGAATTCGAGCCTCATCATTGGGATCTCGTAAACCGTGAGAGATACAGGGTCCGTTAAATTATGGCAAAGTTGCGCAATTTCATGCCTAACAAAATGCCGTTCTGAAACTTGGAAAATTCCGAATACTTTCGGAAATATCCGAAAAAAAATCGAAATTCCATAAAATCGTTTTATTTTTTTCTGGCGTTATTTGAAGAAATTAATCGATATGAATAACACTTTATCATGGCCACTTTTTCTTCCCTACAACATGGCGTTATCAAATTTGAAATCTGACGTTTCGTCTTCCAGAAACCATCATCAACTTACTTTTTTTAAATACGGACCTGGATTTTTTATTTCATTTTTTGTTTCCTTCGGATAGCCCAAAAACTATGAGCTATCACAAATTTCGATTTTCAAATGTTTCAATGACTAAAATTCACAGTTTCTTCATTTTTTCCAAATATTCAATGCAATTACCGAAAATGGAAAAGGCGGCTATGCTTTTAGAGATAAAAAGTTACAACCACTCGTCAAAGTTTGACAGTTCAATGTTTTGAATAATTTGCGCGATCAAAAATGGTGTTTTCCAATTCAGAAAAACGTGATATGGTCCGAATTTATTATAGTGCTAATAGAAACTCGCAAATTTCATGTGAGAGATATTTACAGCAATACCCCGAACGACCACAACCGCATTATACGTATTTCAATAATTTGGACAAGAATTTGAATCTGTATGGTATTTTTAGTAAGCCCCGAAATGCGTATGGCGGAAGATTTGGAGCTGAAGATGAAGGAGCTGTTATAAATGCGGTAAGTTTCGAAAAGAAATAATTTATAATTGCGATAAATTTGATCGAGAAATTTTGAAGGTTACGGAAAATCCCCGAGGTTCCACACGACAATTTGCTCTAGAATTGAATATGCCTAGAAGCCGAATTCAAAAGATTCTCAAAAATCATAGGTATCATCCTTATAAATTACATGTCAGCCAAGAACTGAGACCAGGAGATAATGAAAGAAGGCTAGAATTCTGCAATTGGCTTGATAGAAAATTGCAACAAAATGAAGATTTTTTGAATAACATTATCTGGACTGATGAATGCAATTTTTCTACGAGCGGCCTTTTCAACAGAAATAATGAGCATTATTATGCAGTGGAAAATCCGCACCAAAATCAGCAAGTGCGAAGGCAGGGACGGGCATCATTCAATGTCTGGGTGGGGCTGTATCGAAACAGAATTTTGGGGCCAATTATTTATGATGGAAATTTAAATAGTGATCGGTACCTTCATTTCATCCAAAATTTAGATGCTCTTGAAGACGAGCCGTTAAATATACTCCAGCAACTATGGTGGCAACAGGATGGCGCACCACCCACAATGAAAGGGCCGTTACTCAGTATCTAAATGAAACATTTCCCAATCAGTGGATTGGAAACCAAGGAGTGGTGCGCTGGCCTGCAAGAAGCCCCGATTTATCCCCGCTGGATTACTTTTCATGGGGATATTTGAAAAACCGTTTATTTAAAGATATTCCACGGGACATAAATATTTTACGACAAAATTTAATGTTTGAAATAACAACCCTACGAGGTAGAGGAAGAATGATCCAGCGCGCGCTTACTGGCAATTTGCGAAAACGCATACGAAAATGCCAAGAGGTGCAAGGGGGACTATTCGAGCATTTACTTTAGAATTTCATTTTGTTCTTATTACAATTTAGTTGCATAGTTCACATATTTTTTACCCTTAGTTATATTACTGATGAATAATAACTCGAATAATAATGTTTCCAAAATAGTTTCGGATTAAATATTTTGAAAAAATAAAGAAACTGTGAATTTTAGTCATTGAAACATTTGAAAATAGAAATTTGTGATAGCTCATAGTTTTTGGGCTATCTGAAAGTAACAAAAAATAAAATAAAAAATCCAGGTCCGTATTTAAAAAGAGTAAGTTGATGATGGTTTCTGGAAGACGAAACGTCAGAAAGAAAAAAGAAAAACGATTTTATGGAATTTCGATTTTTTTCGGATATCTCCGAAAGTATTCGGAATTTTTCAAGTTTCAGAACGGAATTTTGTTGAGCATCAAATTGCGCAACTTTGCCATGATTTAACCGACCATGTATCTCTTACGGTTTACGAGATCCCAATGATGAGGCTCGTATTCCAGCCACCCTGTACATGATATTTATCGGAACACCCGCCTGTATAGGGGAAAGTGAAGCGAAGTAAAGTGACGTGGATCTGAGGCCAGAGTCAGTTATTCGTTACAATTTCAGAACTCATAGTGCAATCTAGTATGCTGGGATCTAACGTTTTGTGCCATTCAAAGAGTTAGGATACACTTGACATGTCTTAAAACTTCTGGAAAAATTATATGAAACACAAATTCCAGTCGAGACATATTTTTCACGAAAACCCAATAAACAGTAGCGTACCACTGAAGACATATAATTTTCTTATGTATTCGAAAAGCATACTTGACAATGAGGGCTAACACTTTCAGTATCACCAGTTCGCGTTACTAGAGCGTGAGGTATATGTCAAGGTCAAAAATTCCAACATTTTCCGGATAGGCTAAGGACGGTTTTTTTTTTTAAATTCTGGAAAACTTTTGATCAGTTTTTCGTTTTTCAATCTGCATAATATATGGAACTTCAGGCGCAATTTTTACATTTACAGAGAAGAAGGTATTGTAGAAAAGGGCCAAATAAGAAGAAAAAAGAAGTATACCTGCCAGTTTCATCAACTCTGAATGTCTCAGTAGGTTGATCTTCTGTTGGATAAGAATATGTCAGTCCTCATTATCAATAATAACAAGATACCCTCATAGACCTACGTTCATACAAAGGTAACAACATAAGGAAAGTCACTTTAAATTGTATTGGCCCATTACGGTAAGAGTCCAAAATATCCAAGAATAAGATAGTAGAAAATATTGGGAACCCCTTAACATAATCACTGACTATAAGAACAATCAAACATGAGTATTTTATATTGCAATTTGCAATGCTCCAACAGCTGTTGTCCCATTAGGAATTCAGAACATTCTGTAAGATTGAATAAACGTTTTCTTCTAATTGACGGATTATGAAATCATCTTTAATGGACATATGCACACACAAATGTAGTTGTCAAGTACTTCAACTAGTGAATCTTCAATTCTATCAAGATATATATCTCTCCATATAGCTTTTCTCAATTCGCGAAATGCCTCCTCATTACATGAAAATTCAAATAGGCAGTAAAAATATCATTTGTAAAATGATGGCAATCAGTTACAATACATTCAGATATTATACATGAACAAATATTTTTCCCCGAAACCCAATTTTATGGATACGCCAATTTACTAATTGAAACTGACATTCAATTTCCAGAAGTTATGACAACTCGATAATGTCAGTGGTGACAAGTTTGTCGCTACTCAATAAGCATACGCGTCAGATCTCATAGCAGACTCAACAACAGGCGTTGGTGGATACATACCCCAGGAAGCAGAGTGACGGCAGATTGGCAACATTTTAGGTCACATATTTTTTTATGTTCTGGAGGTTATATGCCTCGGGGAACACCTCCCTTGGCAATTTGTTCCAGAGCCTCGCTGTTCAATGGATGAACGAGTCTTTGGAAAGAGATGTTCTGCAGGTCTCCAGTGGCCAAGAAGGGGTGGGAAGCCTCAACTCGACGGGTTAATCTTGGGGGACTGCCAAGGGAGGAAGAATTGTTGATATTTCAGAAGAGCACCCACGAGGCGAATTGCCCTTTTATTGGCAGAATCCAACAGTTTCAGGGTATGTTTGGGTGCTGCACTCCAAATATCCAGGACAGATTGGATCTGTGCCTTATAGATCATAAGCAGCTGACTGGAAGTGAAATATCTCCTGGCTTGAAACAGAAAACCAAGTTTTTGGGATGCAATTTTAGCAATTGATCTCACGTGATTTTCCTATGAAAGGTTGTTGCTGATAGTAATACCAAGCATCGAAATGGATGTTTTCAAACATATGATTACTCCTGACAAGCTTATGTTGGGCACAGTGAGATCGGCTATTCTAGAGAATTCTACCAAGTTATTGGATCCCCATTCGAGAATTGTTGCCAAGTCCATATTTATTTTGTCAACATTTCTCCCTCGTTCGTTTCTGATTTGCCTGGCTGGTATTGGAGCCCTTTAAGAGATGGCGGTATGGAGGGTACTATCATCCGCGAAGCTGTGTATTGGACATGAAGTTGCTTTCAACAAATCGTTGATATGGGGTAGAAATAGTGTTGGTGCTAGAATTGATCCTTGCGGAACACCAGCATTTATGATTGATTGATTGATTGTCTTTATTACCCCAAGAAACATTTCTGTTTATGATAGGGATACATAAATACAGATAAAAAAAAATAATAATAAAGGGTTAACTATAATGAATTCCACTCAGTGGAAACGAATTAATATTGTGTCTTATAAGATTAAAGTTATATGACATGACATCTTGATATAATGCCTGAGACACCCTGCAATGACTTCCAAATGTCACCGTCACTAGACGTCATATTTATTCGTCAAAATGACGTCACCGAAGGAACAAAATAAGGAAAAAGTTAAAAGGTGCTTGTTTCTACTTTAGATTGGCACTTTTTCACTTCAGCCCAATAATTTATGAGTAATGAGGATAATCACATTTCGAGCCTTCAAACCCACTTCATTTCTTTTCCATAAATATACGGCCATAACTCGGAATTGAGTATTCAGGGGGTTTCCAAAATTGATGCGATAGATGATTAGTATAATAGAAGACGAGAAGATGAGACGACATGAGATAATACATTCATGTGAGAAAAAAATATTTTGAATTATAAGTATTGATCAATTTTAGAGTTTGCCTGGAACTTTTCGGGATATTCGTTGTACAGAGGTTGGAACGAAGCGTTCGTTACCTATTTCAAATTCCATATGACCTCGTGATATTATTTCCACAACTTTGGGTACCTACCTATATTATCTACCTACTGTTATGGTATTCTTGGGTTCAGCTTGTGTCTTTTCAGCTTTTCTTAATGAACGACTAACTTTTTACTTCCTCATCATTTTTATTTAAGCAACTTTCTACATACTGACTGACTTCTTGCTTGCATGAGCTTGCATGTTAGGTTGGCCCGAGATCTTCTCATACATTTAGGTAAACAACTACTCTTTTTTCTTCATTGATAACTTAGCCATAATCCTTCTAGCTAACAACCTGACAAGTACTTTGTATTTTCATAACACCTACAACTTACTCAGTTCTGTGTTTTGTCCGTATACTTATGCGACACCATAAGTAGGTATAAAGTGTGAATATTCCCATTTGAATCTTTCAAGGATATGGAAAAACCTTCATGATGCTGATTATAATCATATTTAGTAGATATTATTGCTACCTTGTTTCTTTCAGTATATGACATAGGTACCTATTTCTTGTATTTTCCTTCTTCCTTCTTCTACAGCCAAGTTCATCAAGAAGTATCTGAAAGTTTTTTGGCAATCTGAGCATATCCAATCAGAGTTAACGATTGCTGTATCCTTCATCCTCACGGTTCCTCTATTACAATTATGACATTTCAAGGAACTAATTTCAGTGTTGGACTCGGTTGGGTCAGAACATCTTTCACAGGTGCATTCGAAGTATTTTCCTTCCAGCAAATGTTGTTTTCTATCTACAGTACCCTTACATAAAAAAGCAATGATCAATAAAGACAGATAGAATAGTATATTGTGCAACAAATGGAAAAGTACTTCCTACAACTGCACTCATCCAAAGAATCCAAGAAATGTAACTTATTGGTACCTATTCATTTTATAATGTAGCACTACTGAATATTGTGACCAATGAGTAGACGCCTTTCCTAGTTCCTCAAAGTATTTCGAAAAAGTACACTTTCCGAAAAAGATTTTATTTCTGTATTTTTTTTTTAGATTCCATAAATTTTTCGTATATGCCAATTCATACTTTTTTCTTGAAATTTCAGGAAACAAATCCAATTTTCGCAGCTTCTTCCATTATCTCTGACTCTGGCGGTGTATTTATCAAAATCGTCACATTTCGGTATATATACATCATATTATTTATTATGAATTGTTGGAATAATATTCGATGGAAACTGAGATTTCTATCAAAAGCACTAATGTGAACTACCCTGAAGAATTTAAAAAACTTCTTCTGACAGTTGTGACAACTATTCAAAGCCAATTAAGTTTTGGTCGATTTTTGTTGATTCTCCATATGAGCAATACATGGTTTTGAAACTAAGAAAGCTATGAGAAATGTGCTACTTTTCATAGCAGTAGTAGAAAAAACTATTTTTCTACAAGCGGGCGTGATTCACCCTATACCCGCACGCAATTTAGTTTGGGAAGTGTCATTTTCCCGCAACAATGCGGGAAAACAAAGATATGATAAAATCGCTAGTAATATAAGTGGTTGGTGTTGGAATATAAAAGTTTAAGTTTGTTTGTTGCAGTATTAAGTATGTATGTTCAGAATCATCCATCAAATTGCACTATTTATTGTAAAAATTAAGAAATATTTAGAAATAAAAATTGATTATTATAAAAATCCTCCTATAGATTTGGATTGACCTGACGGGAAACGTCAATTTGTCATGCCAATCAAACCTCAAATAAGTTTGAAATTTTCGAAGTGACAGACACAGCGTTACTGTCATTTTCGATTCAGTGGAAATGCCACAATGTGATCAAAAACTTCTAGCTATAGGGATTTGATACAGATGCGTTATCACCAACGAAGTCTTAAGAAAGGTATGAGGAGCTATACACGCGTTTTATTGAATGGTGCAACAATAAAGAATTGAAAAAACCGAATGAAGAATAGGTATTTTTGGCTCATTTCATAGAATTGTCTGGAACCTAGAGACCAAACTCCTAATGGGCCTGCTGGCTTCCGCAATGAACCAACATAATGCGTCAAACTGTAAGTTCACAACAGCTATTACTAATAATTAATAAATAGAGAATATATATCTCTTGTTAGTTGTTCCTATTTGCTTGAATAATTATTAATTGAACGATTCAATCAATTTCCTATACGCTTGTAGAAAAAATATTGTTCCCAACTCATGCGGAAAGTTTCTTTCCCGCACTCGACTGCTTGCCCGAACTCCGCTTCGCGTCGTTCGTGTCAACGGCAGTCACGTGCGGGAAAGAATCACTTTCCGCACTTACTATTAAATACGGCCTATATTCAGTTCCTCACAGAAAGACACACACCAATGAAATGATATTAGGATATGAGATTTATATCCCGGAAATGATTTCATATCGAAGAAGTTTAGGAGTTTAGTAGTTCCGATTCCCATGTGGCATTGTGGCATGTGAGTGTGTCTTTGATTTGTTGGTATAGGTAGGTCTAGTCCGAGTCCGACTTCTGAAAGAAGAATCTTCGACTATCTAGGAACTATTTATAATACCTAACCATCGAAAGTGTAGTCAATAGTCAGTGTGCCTTCCACTTATCCTAATAGAATTTTCCTTGATACTGATAGAATTGGCTACCTCCATATAGACCGAAAAGAGATCTCCTTTGGCCAGCCAAACTATACGGTAGGTTTGGGCATCGATGTATCAATGTTTATCTTATACTCACAGAAAGACAAGCTACGCTTATCGATCTCATACTTACAGACTATCACTGTATAAACTTTGGGTGTTTTAAACCATTTCAAGCTGGTATAGAAGCAAAGTGATACATTCAAAACTGAAGTAATCCAGATCAAGGTTGAAATTCATGCATCCTGAAATAGCAGGCAATGAAAAATTCAATGAGCCCACTATTGAAGAAAATAATCAAAATTATTTCATTTTGTCCATCAGTATAATATAGGTTATTGTTAGAACATACTGTATTGATTACAATATGTCTAGTAATCTAATGTCGATGTTGATATATTTTTTGATAGTTAATGTCATAATAATTATTTTAGTACTGTCACCGATTCTGATTAATAAACACTTATCATAAAGAGTTTCTATACATATTTGATATTTCATAACCCACCGATCCATTGTAACAACAGGTTATGGGCCCAGAAGACGTAGTAGAAGTGGTATGATTAATGAAGAGTTTCTGAAACTTATATGAGCAACAAATCTGCATCATGTCAGTAACTACTATCGGAAGCACCAGCGTAACTCCAACTTTCACAACAATACAGTCAGTCTCTACATCTGTACCAAATATAGATAAACTAGAGGGGCAGGCTAACTATTCATCTTGGAAATTTGCCATGAAGATGAGCTTGATGTTGGAAGGTTTGTGGGACATTGTGATCAATGGTTTTGATCCTCAAAATTCGGTGAATAGAGAAAGGGACAATAAAGCATTAGCTAAAATTGGTTTGAGTGTGAAACCTACCTGTTATGTGCACGTTTGTAAGTCCACGACATCCAAGGAAGCATGGACTAATTTGCAAAAAGCTTTTGAATCCAAGGATATGAACAGAAGATTTGATTTACAACGGCATTTGTTCAGATTAAAATGCGATGAGTTCACTTCAATGGAGGAATATATCAGTGATATTATGTCTACAGATTTCAAACTAGCAGATATTGGTATAACCATAGATGATGATTTTGTTAGTTTCGTAATGCTCAATGGACTAAATCAAGAGTATGAGCCTTTAGTTATGGCCCTAACGTACAATAATACAAAACTCTCATCAGATGAAGTGAAAGCTAAGCTTATAGAAGAAGATGCAAGAAAGAAATCTCATGAACAAACAGATAAAGGTGAGGAAGCGTTACACTCAAAGAAGACATATAGGAAGATACCCAAGAAGAAAATCAAATGTTATTCTTGTGGGGAACAAGGACACAAGAAGCCAGATTGTCCGAAACGGAGTCAAGAAAATAGTACTAAATCTTATGGTCTCCAAAACCAAAAGAAAAGCAATGATCAGACACTACTGACAACTGCACTGTACTGCACAACTTCGAATTCTGACTGGATAATAGACTCAGGTGCTACATCCCATATGTCTATGAAAAAAGATTGGATGAAAAATTTTAATACTATAGAGTTGAATAATATCTCAGTAGCTAATGGTGAGAAAATTAGGGCAACAGGAACAGGAGCTGTGACAATAGATCTTAATCAAAATGGAAATGTTGTCACAAAAACTGTAACAGATGTGATGCATGTACCAAGTCTTCCTGCAAATCTTCTATCAGTAAACAAAATGACTGAAAAAGGGCTTGTAGTTGTTTTTGATAGGCTCCCCAGCAAACATTGAACTAGCGGGAGAAGTCCGGCCTAGTGCAGGCTAGTCTGGGAAAGTAACGATGCCGGGGTATAGGTAATGGGCCGATGATTTTCCTATACCAAGTAACCATCAGTTAAAAATACGATGATGGCCTTGTGATGGTAAGATGTCTGGAACTAATTGAATACTAACAAGATATGGCCCATTGCTGGCCAATTTCATATTCACTACCCGTCCCCCTGGTGGATGTTTTGGGAACGTTTACATCAACAATCAGCTGATCAATATCATTATGTGACTAAGATGGCTGACTCTCGTGAGTGGTGATCGCGTACTAGTTTGTTTATGTCGAATTTATGTGGTCCTCTCTGTCCGTGGTGGTTATTTATGATGGCAGGAGTATTCTCAATTGATGATAATAGAACACAGATTCTTCAATTATGATGATATTGAGTAAGTATCAATGTACCTACATAGTGTTTTGAATATAATTATTTAATGCATGTGTTTGGTAACTCGTAACCTCATATACCTAATGATCATGATAATTGGAGTTAACTATACTTCTCTAAAAGCAACCATCATTTTTAACTCGTTTGTTGCTACCAAAAGCAATCTCAGATTATGTGAATCTATCTCTATATTAAAATACTGAATAACAATAAGGTTTCAGCTACAGAATTACCTGTGTCAAGACCATAATGAGAATTGGAAAGCTCCATGTTATCACGTCATTTGACTATATTATCAAATTATAAACTCATGCAACTTATAGGCCACTAATATAAAACGAATGATGCAATTTATATTTCAGAAGTACCCCACAACAAAGAATCAACTTCGAAGGAATGCTACCCAATAAGATGTAGATACCACGACACACCAACCAGTAAGCAGTCACTCCGAGAAGTTCCATCGTTGAATAACAGAGAGGTTAAGTAGATGTCATTGTGTCATTCATAAAATGGTTTACTTGAAATCTGGTATGTGTCTGATTTATGTTATGAAATAAAGAGGTACTAGAACTTTCAGATCCATTGGACCCCTAAAACCCCTACCCCTCCCCTACCTCGATAGTATGTAACCAATGTCGTCAATTGGCCATTACAGTCCCATCATTTATGTATGTGCTGGGCTTGCTATGGGAAACTCAATGTGTCGATTATGTTGTACTGGCCTTTTGCCGGGGAACTGAATATGATTGCTGGGAAACCAGCACTGGGACCAGCTGCCGGCCGCAGTGTACTGATATATAGAGTCCCGCATATGGGACCATTTACTGGACCGTTGATGTCAGGTATGGGAAAAATATACTAGGCCATTGATGCCCCATATCAAAATGTCTGCTGGGTCAGCTGTAAAATCTACAAGGAATCTACTTGTCAAATAGAAGGAGAGGTAGAATTTACTGGGAGCTTAAAGAATGGATTATATATTGCTGACAAATGT